CGGGGGGGGGGGGGGGGGAGGTGGGATTGCTCCTATGGCGATCTTCAAAAATCAGGGGTTTCTGACACCCCTGGAGCAGGGGGAAATTGTCATAGCAGAAATTCTCCCACCCCAGGGGTTTCACAGACCCCTGGGCACGTGTGGCATGGCAGGAGGTGCAATTATATGAATTGTGCACGAGATCCCATTGCACCTTTACCTGCATGTGTAGAGGTGAATATAGGCTTAATCTTAAAGTCCACTGAAGTCAACAGAAACCTTTAAATGGACAGAAGAGGGGTTTTTGTACTTCTTAAGAAAAAACATACACAGTCTATATAAGTTTCTCAGAACCTTCAGAGAGAAATAATGATATTAAAATTCTATTGGGCGTAAGAGTTAGATATCAGGTTACCCGATGGATATAAAGATACTTTAGTATACTGACCTAATATTTTATATAAAATAAACATACCAGAGAAATCTTCCATCTGCCTCATGCAAAGCTGAGATCGCCTTAGTATTTCTCCCACAAGATGATCACAAAGCCCCTGAGCCTCACGTAAATTATAGTGATATAGCTGGCAATATAATATGGCAAGGAAATATCTAGTTTGAAGAAAATGTGCTCTTATTCCTCCTGAATTAAAAAGAAGAAATATATGCAGTACTGTATATTCAAAAGCATAGAAGCATAGTTGTAGACAGAAAGGGCCACAGAAAAGAAGAAATAGTTGCAGTAACAATTAGCTATGTAGAGGGAAGCAAGCAAGTACAAATATAGACATCGAAAGGCTAAAAATCTCCCCCTAAAAAATCCTCTGTGTGAATATGATGCAGGTAAGGATCCACAGTTTACAAAACAAGTAGAACTGAGCAGTTATTCTGCAAACCACTATATTCCAATTCAGGAATGTTCAAAGGAGCTTTTACTTCTTTCAAAAAAGGGGGTTAGTAAGTAGCTGTGATAATGCAAAGGCAGCATGGCTCAAGCAAGACATGCACCCAGGAAAGGTTGTCTAAGAAGCAACAAGAAGGATGTAGACACATTGGGTGCCTATACATGAACGCCGAGGGTACTCAGACACGCTGGAATTCCAGCGTGTTGGAGGAGACTCAATTAATTGAGCCTGCTGGAGCGTGGCAACTGTCACGTTCCAACAGCTTCCTGTGTCTCATGTATCAGCATCCCTGTGCTTAAAAATGGTGGTGGGGATGCTTGAACTAAAGCTCATTCAATGAACTTCAGTTTGAGCACCCCAACCACCATTTTTAAGCACAGGGACACTGATACACAAGATGTGGAGGCACTTTAATTAGAGCAGCTCTCAGAACCACTCTAAATAAAGTGCATCCCCCTCTCTCTGCCTCCAACCCCTAGAGCACATGTAGAAGTGCCCACAAGGATCTACAAGGCTGTCCTGATTTGTAGAAAGATCCTTTAATCTCCAAAGAGTTTCCAATACATAATCCCATCCATTCTGCATGGATGAGAAATCCTTTTCCTCCTAACCTGGCATATGAATAATTGTAGTAATAGTGTTTTATATGGGTTTTTTTTACAAGTTTACTTAAAAGTAAACTTGAAAAAAACCTCTAGACCCAATTTTTAGTTCAACCATGTTCTGATATAAAGAGCAAATCCTGTGAAAATAAATACGTAGTATAAAAATGCTAACGGCATCTTTAAAGAAGCATTATTTGCCCTGCCAAAATATCATACAAACACCTGAGAAAAATGGAGCTTTATCCTATCTTCTTCCTTACCTTTTCCTTTGACTTCCTGAAGAGCTCTCTTCCAGATGTCCAAAGATTCTTTGTATGAGCCTAGAAGAAACTGCTCCTCACCTTTAAAAAAATATGTAATGTATTCAACAACACTGAAATGTATTCACATCTTTTCATTGTATAGATGTTAGCCCAAATCTTTATATTTTCCTTTAGAAAAACCATGTTAGAGAAGCAGGGGCACTGTGTTGGAATAAAGTTAAGCCATTTAGCTACAAAATTCAGTGTCAAGAGTTTGAACCTTGACCCAGATTTGCCTAGGGAAATCTATCTCTATCTGAATCACATGGAATAGGCCATGGAAATCACTACCTTAAGTGCCTTAATCATGATGTGCATTTGTCAGAGAAACTGTTGAAATGTTAGCGAAATCCTCCAAATGATCCTCCAAAAAGGCAGGTTTCTCAAATCTCTTATCAAATGCAGATGTCTCAAATCTCCAGTTGATATTAAGAAAGAATTAAACTTGGGTTATAATCACTTCTACAAGGCTCTTATACATTATGCCACTTGTTACTCTATTAACAGCAGGCTTAGAAATGCTAACTGTCACACACCATTCTCTGGAGATGCTTGCTCAAGATCCCTTTGGCCTTGTTTGGTCTCTAAAACCCCCAAAGCCAGCCCAGTCATAGCTTCTAGAGCAGTGATTCTCAATCTCTTTAGACTCGAGGCACCCCTCCATAACTTTTGCTGCTTGAGCAGGACCTGGCTTCTAAAAAATATTTTATGACAGTGCTTGCCTTCTTGCAGAGGAGTTGGGCACTGGGAGCAGGACAATGGCTAGGAATGGATGACTCCTCATACCTGCTTATCTCCTCACACCTTGCTGCAGCCTTTACAAGATCTTGGGTCACCTGAGGGTACCCTGGCACCCTGCTACAGAATCACTGTTCTAGAGCAAGGGGGAAGACCAGGCTCCTTCCCATTCTAAGCCCTCAGCCTTTCACTCTCTCACCTTAACTGGTACTCTGTGGCCCTGACTCAAGGAGCTAGCATTCAGTTCTGCTTTGAGAGGGGATTTACTTCTTGTTGGGAAGACTGGGTACAACACAAAGTTCCAAGTTCCAGCAGCCAGCTTCTTCAGTAAAGGCATTAATTGGGGCAAAAGCCATGTTTTCTGCCCACCACCCAAAAAGGGTTGGAGCAGTTACTTTGTTCCAGCTCTAGTTTGCACAGCCCAGAGCACCTCCAAAGACACTCTGCTGTTCCATTCCAGTCTCTCTCCAAAGCTCCCAGGCTAGTTTCTGAACCCAGATTCTCTTGCAAG